TACTATGTATTTGAAGCTCAGAAAAACATGACATCACATATGAGAGACCCAAGGAGTCTCTCATATGTGATGTCCTCAATGTCTACACTACTCAAGGTGAATACTAGGGCCAGTCCCGCTGGGTTTATTCCTTCTCCCTCTCTCTTTTCGGTTGTGCCCCCCTTTTGTGTTGGTACACGAGGTTTTCCAGTACCACCTCCATCCCTTTACCTTCCCGTTTCTGACCCCCCCAAAAAAAAGGCTCTAGTTCTCCCTCGTTTTCCCTTGTGGTGAAGCCCCCTATCATAGTTTTGCCCTGCATGCATGAGCCCTTCGGGCCTCAGATAGTGGCAACCACATCTATTACTCTCTCATACTCTTGCCTTGGTCCCCCTATTGTTCTGTGGGGGGTTTTTACACACTGAAAATTCCCCCCGGGGACCTCCAACTGAAAGGTTCCTATTATTAGCTCTTCTTCTCCCTGCCCCTCCCCCCTCACAAATCCATCTTTTTTTGAGAGCAGTGCCACACCTCCACCCCCCTTACCCCTTTGTCTTTCCCGGGATCTGATACCCTTTTTGGGAAAAAGGCATTGTTATCATTCTGTGAGCTTTTTTTCGGAAGTTATGATGTTGGTGATGAACCTTGACTCTTTCACGTCTCCTTCCTTTCCACGGGGCTCCTCGCAGCAGGGTGTACCTGCTTCAGATGCTTTTCACCTTTTGGCAATAAATGTAACCGCATCAGAGATTTACCTCGTATTCTGGGGCCCTTATCCGGCTTCAGGGGCTTTTGGTATGCCTCTTTTTTTTCTTCCCCCATCCTCTCCCCCCCATTTTTGCAAAAAACTCACCTATTTGCTCTCCCACTTTTGCTCCATCTTTTTTACATTGCCTTCATCCATTTTTCTCTACCCGAACCATTTCCTTTGAGCTCAAATTCCCCTTTTGACCATCTTTTTTTTTTTTGTACGCTTTGTAATGGGGATGTCTGTTTGTGCATGTTATGCTTGGGGTGGGAAGTGGAAGGGGGGAAAATGGGGGGGGAGGGGGACGGGAAAGTGATGGGGGGGGGGAGAAAGAGTGGGGAAGGGGGGGGCTAAAAGAAGGAAAGGGGGGAGTAGAGAGGGGGGGAATGGAGGGGGGGGAAGAAATGAGAAATGAGAATTGTTGGGGTGTGGTTTATCTGGTCCCCAGTCACCGCCTTACGCAAACGGGGGCCAGACATACTCTCATCACCAGTGACTGACTTGCGTTGCCAGTGTCCATAATGATAAATAACACTGTCATCAAGCACCAGGGAAAAATATGAAGCATTCCACAAACACAGAAGGGTTTTCTTTTTAATTTTACTCCGCAGAAACGTTTTCCATTTGGGAGTGGTTTAAAGAGGGGGGTTGTGATGGGAAAAGGTTGTGTGGCGTGCAAGTAAGTAAGTTTATTCAGGGTAAACAAAAAGGAATAAATTATCATACATAGCAGCATTGTGAGAGAACCTAGGGTAACCCAAAAAATCAAAGAGGTTATTTCCATTGGCATGGGGGTGATGTACAGATTTAATGGGTAGTGGTGTTGGGTGGGGCTGTGATGGGTAAAGGTGATGGTACGACAGTGGGAAAGAATTGGTCAATAAAAGGGTTCCAATGTTGTCTGTGTCTTAAACAAACTCCATTAATACACGAGTATTATTATAATAAAGTGCTGAACCTACAAGGGTCATACAGCGCAGTAATAGGCGAGTAACATCTATCACTATTAATTTATATATATATATATATATATATATATATATATATATATATATATATATATATATATATATATATATGTATATAAAATTTATACAAAAAAAGTTAAGAGATTTATGAAGATACTGAGGCTCGGGCTACGGTACGTAGGAGAGAGGGAAATTATTTTCTTGTAAAAGTAGGCCTTAACCATGGATGCGTGATGTCACCATGGCTGTTTAATATATTTATAGATGAGGTAAGAGAAGTGAATGCTGGGTGTTGAGGAGAGGTGTGAGATTGGTAGATGTTTAATCTGATACAAAATGGGAATTGTTACAGTTACTTTTTGCCGATGACACGGTGCTTTTGGGAGAGACTGAAGAGAAGTTGCAGAGATTGGTAGACGAATTTGGGAGGGTTTCTTAAAGAAGGAAATTAAAACAGAACACAGGAAAGAGCAAGGTGAGGTGTGACAAAATTTTTAGGTAATGAAAGACTAGATATTAGATTGGAGGGGGGAGTATGGAGGAAGTGGATGTGTTCAGATATTTGGGAGTGAACGTGTCGGCAGATGGGTCTATGAAAGATGTGAACCATATAACTAACGAGGGAGAAAAGATGAGTGGTGCATCGAGGCATCTGTAGGGACAAAGAAGGGAAATGTATGAGAGTATGATACCAATACCTTGTATGGGGCGACGCATGGGATGTAACGTTGCAGAAAGGAGGAAGCTGGAGACAGTGGAGACATTGTGTTTGAGGGCAATGTGTGGTGTTAATATTATGCAGAGAATTCGTAACTTGGAGATTAGCGGGTGCATGGTTTCTAAAAGTTTCATCTAAAAAGCTGAAAAGGAGCTGAGATGGTTCGGACATTTAGAGAAGATGGAACAAAACATGACTTAGAGGATGTATAAATTTGAAGTGGAGGGTAGGAGGGGCAGGGGTCTTCCTAATATAGGTTCGAGGTAGAGGTTTATAAAGGTTTTGTATGCGAGTGGATTGGACACTCAGCAAGCAAGCATGTGTGTGTGTGTGTGTGTGTGTGTGTGTGTGTGTGTGTGTGTGTGTGTGTGTGTGTGTGTGTGTGTGTGTGTTATAGGAGTGGAGGCAAGTGGTTTTTATGACTTGACAGGCTATTGGAATGCGAGGAAAGCAGCATTTATTAAGGGATTCGGGGAAACGGGAGGTGGGAAGTAGTGTCTGCACTCTGAAGGAGGGGTCGGGATATTTGCAGTTTTGAATTATTGCATCTGCGTGCCTCTGGCATGCAGATGCAATAATTCCTTCTGTTTTATTAATTAGTAGGTTACACACAATATCAGCATTCTGAATGTGTATTATCCACTATTGTAACGTAATCTCATGTCACATGACCTGTTCTCAGCAGTTAGAAACAGCTTAGGGATGGCTATTAAAATCTAGTTATTCTACCTCCTGCTATCTGAAAACTTTGAGGCCTAGCCCACCCGACCCCATATGGGGTGGGGTGTGGAGGGGTTTGTAGGTGGGTAGCATTCGGTTGCCCCCCCACCCACATTCTGAGAGGTGCTGGTGGGAATCACTTACGCTGCCATACTCTGAGAAAACTTCCCCTCATTTCTCCTGTTGCTACCTTTGCAACACTGCACAGCTCCTGATGATGTATTGAAAAATGTGAAAGTACTTGAGCTAAAGATTTCCATCCCCCCGTGGCTTGTCTTGCAGTGTTAAGATTGTCTGTCTGCGATACATATATCCATACATATACACATGCATACAAATACACAAACAGTGAATAATGCTCATCTGTCTTGTAGGTAAAAATACTAAAATATATGTATACATTTAATTTTGTTATATAACATTTTAAAAAAAAATTACTGAATTGATATTTAATTGCAACAAGAGCATTAATAAATTAATGTTAACAATATGTTTTTTTTTCTGTTTGTGGGAGTATGGGTTAACATTCTGTGTCAGGCTCTCTCTTTGACCAACATGGCTAGAAGCTGGAGGTTGTGAGCTCTGTTAAGCAAGTTTTGTGATGCCCTGAAGGTAAGAGACATTTCAGGCCAGTGTTGATGTGTTCTGGGGGTTGCTTTCAGAGATGCTGCAGTGTGTGTGAAGACACTGGGAATGTAGTTGAGAGAGCTTTGAAATAATGGTGTTATGAGCAGCCATGTGGTACGGGTCAAAGTCTGCCACTTTATTAAGAGTCCAAGGCAAGGCCTTGAGATGGCATGTAATTAATAATGGCTATCACAAGTAACATGGTGATTATTCACACCCTAAAGTAACAGTGACCTTGTGTATGGTTAATGGAGGTAACCTATCCACTTTTATTATATACGACCTCGTACACATGTAATGATAATAATAGCCCTAGACACAACAGTAAATATATGACCAATAATATATAATTGGTGGACCTGAGTTTTGTAGTGGGTACATCCCTCCCCCCCCCCTCACATTTTACTGGGGCTAAGAAGCGATTGTAGGCTAAAGGAGCTTGAAATGAAGGCCTGCGAGTGTGAATGGACCCAAAAATGAAACAGTGGTAAACTCGTCTGGTGTGGATCATTCATCACAGAGTGATGGAACATCGCTCATGAGTTCCTTAAAGAGGAAGGAAAAAAAGTCAGTTTGGAAGATGAGTGTCAGCGTGAAAGATGAATACCGTTGCTGGAGCAATTAAAAAAAAAACCCCGTCGACATAATTTTCCTGACGAAGAATGAGTTATCTGTGAACGAATCCATTCATTAGCAGCAAGATAGAGCTATCTCACTGCATTTGGACGAGCTATCTAACTGCACTTGCCTAACTGGTTAAAACAAAGCAAAACAATGAAGCACGCAACACATTTAACTACAAATTGTTGAGTTTTTTCCTCATCGCATACACAAAGTCATGCACAGAAACCCGCACACCAGATTATAAGGAAACATTACCTCACAGACACAAACACGCTGCAAACACACGATGACACATCATCATTCTCTTATCAATGACATTCGCTCCTTCATTTACGTATTCCGTGTATTAGGTGGAAAAGTTCAGAAATCGAGGCAAAAAGTAGGAACAGCAGCAACGAGTTGCGAGGAACATCCAGCAGGTTGGAGGTCGCAAGACCGGCTTAACAAAGGTGTCATCTTCGAAGCAGCGGCGTGAAAAACCTCTCAGTACTGCTACCTCACGCAGCGAGTTATTTTATTAGCAGTAGCAGCAGACATTGTACAGAGAAAGACATCTAATACTTCTTTTAATATGACGATAACGACAGGAATAACAATAAAAACAATACCTAGAAACATGGCTTCAAGTACTAAAGAGAAGATGCGCCCAGAACCTGAAAGAGTAAGAACAAGTTTTTTTAGGAAAGCTGCCAAGGTGTCTCGGGGTAAAAAACGAACGATGAGAGGGTAAAGTATTTACCTCGGAGCTACTATAATAACTTTCTAAGACTATCAAGACGACCCAGGCTCCAGCCCACGTGTGGAGGAGGCAAGGACGGCAAACATTGATTCTAAAAGATATTTACCTTGGCTAAATACTTTCATTTAATATTTCTATAATAGTTATCCTGAGAGTGGCTTGGGTGTTAGGAGGGAATATGACAGGAAATTTGGGGGAGAGGGAAGGGGAATATCGAGGACAGGAAGAAGAGTTGAGGGAGGGAAGACTACGGAGGTGACGGAGGAGTTGGCGAAAGGAAAGGGGGAAAGGGAGATGGGGAAGTATGTCAATATTTTCCCGGAGAAGCAAGAGGAAAGGCTGCAGAAAAAAGCTATTTAAAGCAAGACCAGTATTGGCTGCGTGAGGAACACAATCATAAAATTTCTCCTCACTTAACAGGGAAGATTCGAGCCTCCACACCGGTTGGCTGGTATCACTGAGCGGGTGGTACAACTCTCCAGTTATCTGCCTGTGATAAATGTTGAGCAGAGCTACGATGTAACAAAGAATTCATAATTTACACTTGGAAATCTTAAGGAGACTAGTCCCAAATCTGCACAGAGAAATCACTCCCTATGAATTCAAAAGACTCGGCAGGCGGTGCAACATCCCCCCAATAAAATTCAGGGGTACCGTGAGTACACTGAGAGAACACAATAAGTGTCAGGGACCCAAGACTCTTCAACTGCCTACCAGCATACTTAAGGGGCATTACCAATAGACCCCTGGCTGTCTTCAAGGAGCTGGACAGATACCTAAAGTTGGTACATGATCAGCCGGGCTGTGGTTCGTAATAATAATAATATCTTTATTTACTACAAGTACATGTACAAGGTATACAGTCTTAGCTGACAACAATGACATACTACTATATAGAAAGCCCCTTGTTATGCTCTGCATGTCGGGCAAATTAGGTCAGTGTCCCAGGATGCGACCCACACCAGTCGACTAACACCCAGGTACCCATTTTACTGATGGGGAACATAGATTGATGGACTGACCACATCGACTCAAGGTTGAAGGACTGATTACCTCATTCTCCTCCTGTTCTTCAAGATTCTCCTTTGTATGGACTGATGAAGCCACTGTGTGGCGAAACGTTTCCTCAATAAAGATACCCAAGAGTTGCACATATGTCTAATTTATCAACATGTCGGTTCTCTGAACCATTCATCTACAAACCTGTCAGACACTGCAACTTCTTGGGATCTTAATACTTGGGAATTCTTCGTTTGTCTAATTCTTGGGCACGACCTACTTCCACATTGAACAAATGTGACACCGCCTATGACTGCTGCACCTCTCCTACCAACGGTTTATAAGCTCCTTCTCCGCACGTATGCCGTATTCTATTCAAGATTGATGGACTGACCACATCGACTCAAGGTTGAGGGACTGATTACCTCATTCTCCTCCTGTTCTTCAAGATTCTCCTTTGTATGGACTGAAGCCACTGTGTGGCGAAACGTTTCCTCAATAAAGATACCCAAGAGTTGCACATGTGTCTAATCGATCAAAGTGCTGCACATTCCTCCTTCGGTTACTGGACGACCATTCAGGACTGAATAAGAAGGGTAATCATGAAGCTGATCCAAGCTCTAGGGCCGGACCGCGGAGGAGCGGGAGGGGGGGGGGGGGTAATGGCGACCTCCGGAAGAGACTCCAAGAAAACTCCAAGTACTCAAGGTCAACCATATTAAAGGTCAAACATACTCAGGATCACAACAGAAGATGGCAAAGATTAGACGGTGGCTCGGTGCTCTTAAGTAAACATTTCCAGCAGCTCGAGTTTTAGTGCCGCCATAACAGGTAATACGAGGGAAGGGGGGTTAAAACAACAGCAGTATCTGTGAAGCAGCAGAGTGAAGAGAATCTTTCTCTTCTTACTTCTTGTCCATTAAAGCTACGTCATTAAGATCCTATACGTTAGCAAACACCAAAACACAGCTGTCAAGAAAGAGGTGTCAGTGGTAGACAAGGAGTAGCGACTTTTATGGAACACTGCGCTCACGTCCTCAAGAAAAAGTATATGTAATACACGCAATAAAAACGAGGATACAAGTAAACCAGCAGTAACAGCCTGATTGTTCAGACCCTGATCCAAAATGAGGCCTGGTCTCAGACCGAGTCGCGGGAGCGTTGACCCCCGAAACCCTCTCCAGGTAAACTCTAGGTAAACACTCAACACAAGTATTAACCATACCAGGTTAAAACAACCAGCATAAATTATAACCCCACCACAAATGTCAGTTTTAGCAGTGAGCGCTCACCCCTGGCTGCCATCACACGTTCCAGTGTGCACCACTGGATGTGCGTGGCCAGAGGTCTTCCAGGTGTGACACTGGTGGTATTCAACCACACTCATGTGTATAGGTGTCATCCGCTCCTGCCAGACTCCCGAATGTGGTACTGGTGACAGCCGGATTCATCCATTCGCATCAGTGCCGCAAGACTCACGGTTGCATGGTTTCTGCTGGCTTTCTCAACCCAACCGTTTAAGAAATATTGTTGTGACACATTAGTGGACGGTGGGGCAGAATACAAAGTGGTCCCATCAGCAGCAGTGGGACAGTACATGGCGTTATCATCATCATCATCATCATCATCATCATCATCATCATCATCATCATCAGCAGCAGCAGCAGCAGCAGCAGCAGCAGCAGCAGCAGCAGCAGCAGCAGCAGCAGCAGAGTACACGGTGTTCCCATTACTGGGGTAGAATTTTCGATGCATAAAGGTGTCGTGCTAACACTGAATGACTGATACTGGACGAATACAGTAAACGAGCTACACTGAATGACTGCCAGCGAGCGCAATGACACTGAATGAAATACTGAATGGCTTGCACAGAATAGCTTATACTGAATACTAGAAACAGTACTGTACTTGTGTACAAGAAATATTTATAATCAAATACTTAAAGCAGACCTTCGAGTGAATAAAGTATCCTCAATGTCAAAATACATATCTAAACTAGAATGTGAACTTTATCTTGCCATCTGGAACAGAGGTGACAATAATATAATATTTCATCCAGCGTTTAAACCTGTTTAAAGCCATTCAACACTCCTAGAGTAGTTAAGGTTTGATCCTTCGTTTGCTAATCCGTGTCGCAGTGTCTGATCAGTCAGGCTGCTTATCTATAGTATTATCATGACAAGACACTCCAAGCGGCAAAGTCAGGGCGGAGAAAATTTGACTGTCCAACGAAGGTCCTTTACTAGGTGTGAAAATTATTATGTGAGCAAATTACTTGCATGAGATTTACAGGGTATTACCTGAATTATTACAGGCAAGTAATTTAGGTGAGAAAAGTAGGACTTAAGTTACAGTTGGTTGCTGAACTGTAACTCCCTTGATACCCACTTCGTCACCACTCACAAAAAGCTAGACCTGACATTAAATTAATAATTACAATATTAAAACCAACTACTCTGGTAAATTAAAGTTATGTGAACTGTATGTTATTTTGGTTTACTTGCTGGGTACGCAAAAATATAACTATTAGTACAATACATATAATACAATAGTGTTATTAGAGCTTTGTATTACCGCTTACCATTTAATTACTGTAGATGGATCACACCACAACACCTGCCTAACACCTAGATCTTACACTGGCCAGCTAGAGATCTAAATACAAGGACTAATGGTGCACTTCCCTGTGAGTGATGTTCTGCCATCCACATGCAATTCTGGAAGTCCCTAATATTTCCCAATTCTTCAGCAGGGGACATTAACACAGGTTCCTATTACAAATTCAAGCTGAACCACCGTAATTTGGCCTCCGAGAACGCTTGATTACATTGCACAACCAAGTCCAGTGTTCACACATTAAATTCAATATGGCGTCCCTCCCCGGCGTCACTCTCCGGCTCTTCCACACACCCCTTAAGTTAAAATTTCTCGAAGGGTCAAATCAGCATCACATTTTATTACACAATTATTGTATTATTCAAATTTACACATGCTGAATTTAGGAAAATCCAAAATTTACCACACTAGGTGACAGGTGAGAGCTAAACACCTGCAGAGTAACAACCTACCATTTCAAAACACCTGCAGAGGAACAGTCTACTCTCAAACAGTTCACTTTCAAATTAAAATCCTATAAATACATTCTATTTAGCTAATCTGATAGTCAATAGAACTTACAAATTTACGAAATGGATTTGCAGATTTCATGTTCTATGATCAAAAAAAAACTTTTGAAATTTAACAGCGAAACAGATCTGGAACTACAAAATATAGAACAAGTGATTTAATTTATTTGAAAGAATTTTTTAAGTGATAACGGATATAATTTGCCTCGTAAGCATTGATATTGTGGTCCTATAAATAAATAATGGCGAAGAGGCAAAATAATTGGAGTGGTAGACTGCTATTATGTGATCCACGGAAGGGCAGTATATAACCACTAAAAACTTGTACTAAACTAGATTAATTTCAGAAAAAAATAAGCATAGCGAGAAAATGGGTTTAGATATTAGAAAAGTGACTTCATCATAATACAGTCATAATACAGTTAATTTTGTACTTAATACAATATATGGATAGTCTCAAAACATTCAAATATCTCAACATTACCATTACAAAATTAGGCATTTTCTAGATTATAATCTCGTTTTGCAGCTCATTCATCTAACCTGTGCAGTCTGTATACAATATTTCATGATTTTATACATCATTAGCAACGAAGAAATCTGCCATTTCTTAAAAGTTTCTTCATGTATGCCTAAATAATTGTTTTTGGACACTAAGATATAGCGGCGTGTATGGGACCCTGACCCTGTCCACAGTGTACATTTCATGCGATCGGCATCACCAAATTATTATAATCAAGGGGGGGATGTGGAAGGAATTATTCAGGCTTAATTCAAGGAACCGGTGCACAGATCCAATTCCCTAGATCACAAGCCCCTCACCAGCATCAAGGAATCTTCCTTGAAGGGGACACCAAGGAACCTTCCTTGAAGGGGACACCAAGGAACCTTCCTTGAAGGGGACACCAAGGAACCTTCCTTGAAGGGGACACCAAGGAACCTTCCTTGAAGGGGACACCAAGGAACCTTCCTTGAAGGGGACACCAAGGAATCTTCCTTGAAGGGGACACCAAGGAATCTTCCTTGAAGGGGACACCAAGGAATCTTCCTTGAAGGGGACACCAAGGAATCTTCCTTGAAGGGGACACCAAGGAACCTTCCTTGAAGGGGACACCAAGGAACCTTCCTGGAAGGGGACACCAAGGAACCTTCCTGGAAGGGGACATCAAGGAACCTTCCTTGAAGGGGACATCAAGGAACCTTCCTTGAAGGGGACATCAAGGAACCTTCCTTGAAGGGGACATCAAGGAACCTTCCTTGAAGGGGACATCACCAAAGTGTCAAAGATACTTGCATTGTAGCCTTAGTCCAGCAGTGACAATATTTTTTTAGTCTATTGATATTTTAAGTTTCTCCATGTGTGATGAATGGTTTGAAAAACCGACAAGTTGAAGATTGAGACACTTATGCAGCATATGGGAATCTTTATTCAGGAAACGTTTCGCCACACAGTGGCTTCATCAGTCCAATACAAAGAGGAAGGCGTAAGGAGAGGAGGAGTATGAGGTAATCAGTCCCTCAGCCTGGAGTCGATGTGTTCAGTCCATCAATCTTGTAGAATGTACAGCATAGGGCCGTAGACGTGGCTATATACTGTAGTGAGGTGAGGTGAAGCAGGCGGAGGCGGAGTCATAGTGGTACCATCCACGTTTCGTCACTGTGTGGCGAAACGTTTCCTGAATAAAGATTCCCATATGCTGCATAAGTGTCTCAATCTTCAACTTGTCGGTTTTTCAAACCATTCATCACAACTGTTAGACACTGCAGCATCATGGGATCTTGTTACAAAGAATTCTTCAACACTTGTTCAACCTTTGGACGAGGACCTACTTCGACTAGTGGATGGTACCACTATGACTCCGCCTCCATCTGCTTCACCTCACCTCACTACAGTATATAGCCACGTCTACGGCCCTATGCTGTACATTCTACAAGATTGATGGACTGAACACATCGACTCCAGGCTGAGGGACTGATTACCTCATACTCCTCCTCTCCTTACGCTTTCCTCTTTGTATTGGACTGATGAAGCCACTGTGTGGCGAAACGTTTCCTGAATAAAGATTCCCATATGCTGCATAAGTGTCTCAATCTTCAACTTCAAGTTTCTCCATGAGATGTTTTACTTGACATTTCCCTAAGATAGGCAATTGTTCTACTTTTTTTTTTATCTGCACTGCTCTAATTTAAACTTATTTGTTATTTCCATTCTAACAATGTTTTTTTAAACTTCCGTGGTGGGAGAAACCAAAATTATTTAGTCAAGGTCAAGATCTCGGAGCTCGGAAGCCTATGCGAGAGAATCCAAAACAAAATTTATATTTAATTCCCTTGTCAATAATTCATGCATATTTGTATTTGGCTTCAAACAAGCGTGTTACATTCAGATCATAGTCTACCAAGAGCAAGTAATGAGGATAAGGAGTCAGGTCAAACTAAGTTGTAGCTTCCGTATACATCGGGTAATTTTAATAATTTCTCCCTATTGTGTTACCATCAGGCTAGTTTACCATAACACTTCTCGTCCTCCCACTCTCAAAGTTAAGAGTGGTATCAAATTGTGTGCATTGTATGCTCGAAAACACAATTTAACAGTTTGTTGAAAATGAAGGTAGTGAATGGTAAGTCCGAGGTGGGTGACTGAACCTGGTTATATCTGCTAGGATCGCAGAAAATACTCTTGTTTTCTAACTTGATTCAGTTAATCTAATGTGAGTGGCTGTTAATTAAATCCATTTTGATTTACTTGTTTTCTAGAGTGTCTTTGATAATCACCCTTTAAAGTGTGATTATCATATCACGAATTTTATTTTGCATATTCTATCATTAATATTAGGTATGCCAAAATCTATGACCAGGACCTATGCAACACTTGCATATCTACCGAAATATCCAGGTACTGTACACGAGTTTTATTCACCACAACATTCTACCTTCATATTAAGAATATTAGTGGTTATAATTATGCGAGGTACTAAATGAAAGCTACGATGAAAAACTTGAATAATGTTGCCTCACCTTTCAAGGAAAAAAACAAGAAAAAGAAACGATCACAGCATAGCTAATACTGTTATATAGACGAGATAGGCAAATGCAGAATATTAAACACGAGAGAGACCAAGACGGGAGGAAGGGAGGTGGACACACGAAGATGTTATGTATTCTGAAGACGTTGTGGCGGTAGAGAAGTGGACTAAATTGAAGAACACGGTAGATGTTAGAATCATTTA